CGTGTTGGCCCATCATGGTGTTCTGGCTTGACAGTATAGACTGGCAAGTCTCCAGCTTGCGTCACAACAACATAGACTTCCTGCTCCCACTTATCACTGATCTTATGTTTTCCCCTCAGCCGCACACTGCGCACAAGAACACGGTCTCCAACATCCAGCTTCGATGGAATTACTTTTAGATCAAACCGGACCTTGTTCTTCTCAGCGGCTTTGGCAGCGTTTTTGGAAGCAATATCATAGCTCTCCTTTAATCGGGACTTTAACCCTTGGACATACTGCGAATGTGGTTGATGTCGCTGCGAATTTATTGGCAATCCAAAAGCCAAGTCGACTGGTAGACGAGGAGAACGTCCAAACATCAGTTCATACGGAGTATATCCAGTCGTTTCATTTCGGGTACAGTTGTACGCATGAACTAGAGGTTTGACATAATCTTTCCATTTCGATTTTTGTTTTTCCTCAAGTGTTCCAAGCATATTGAGCAAAGTACGATTAAATCGCTCCACCGGATTACCTCGCGGGTGGTATGGTGTAGTTCGACACTTCTTGATTCCTGCCACTTCACACAGCTCTTTGATCAGTTTGGACTCAAAGTCTGGCCCTTGGTCTGTATGTAAGCGTTCGGGTATCCCATAATAGACAATAAAGTTGTCCCAGAGACATTTCGCTACTGTTCTTGCCTTTTGATTGGGTGTTGGAAAAGCGAGAGAAAACTTTGTAAAGTGGTCAGTCAACACAAGGATATCTTTGGTGTTGCTGGTGTCCGGTTCAAGACTTAGAAAGTCCATACAAATAAGTTCCAGTGGTTGGGAAGTTTGGATACTGACAAGCGGAGCGGCTTTCTCCGGAAGAGCCTTACGACGAATACAACGTCCACAAGTTTTGATCTTGTGCTCTACCTCAGCAGCCATCCTGGGCCAATAAAACCGAGTACGAGCAAGATCTAATGTGCGCTCGATTCCCATGTGGCCGAGATCATTGTGTAAACTTTGTAAAACTGTGGAACGGAGTTCTTCGGGCAGGACGAGTTGATGAGACGTCTGCTCATTGTCCTGTCTTTTCCGATAAAGAATCCCTTCAATCAGCTCCAGTTTGTTGAGCTCCCTGAGAATCAAGGGCACATCAGGTAACTCCTTCCTGACTGTGGGAGGGATCTTCTCATCGGTCTCCATCTGATTGATAATTTCCCGGAGGCATGGGTCTGCTCTTTGCTTTTCCCGTAACTCCAGAGAAGATATAGCGGGGATAACCGGCAGCCCATGTTCGTTACCATATGCCTCAGGAACAGCATCAGATGTGATGGACAGGGATTCGATCAGCGCACATGCTGCTCCACCTCTTATCAGGCAACTCTGGCAAATGGCATCCACGACGTTGTATGGTAGAAGTAGGTCACCAGGCCCTGAAGAATGGCGCTCTGTGAATTGATTGAGAAGCCCTGTATCACTTTCATGACTGGAGTTATCATATGGGAGCCGGGATAATGCATCAGCGTCCATGTTATGTCGTCCAGCACGGTACTGTAACTTAAATGAAAAGGTTGAGAGGGCGGCTAACCACCGATGGCTTGTTGCATCCAGTTTCGCCGACGTAAGAACATAGGTAAGTGGATTGCTGTCCGTCACCACTGTGAAATCAGCACCGTACAAGTAACCTTGGAATTTTTCAGTAACACTCCATTTTAGTGCTAAAAATTCGAGTTTATGGGCTGGATAACGACTTTCACTTGCTGATAATCCTCGACTGGCATAGGCAACTACTCTGAGTAGCCCCTCTTGCTCTTGATATAGGGCAGCACCCAGTCCTGTGGCGCTAGCATCCGTGTGAAGGATGTATGGTTGCTTTGGATCAGCAAACCCTAGCACTGGAGCACTGGTGAGTTTCTCAATCAGGGTGGTGAAAGCAGATTGACATTCGGGACTCCACCTTGATCCGAAGGGCTGTTTTGGATCAATACGTTTGGAATCGTTGGGCACTGAAGTTTTCCGCGTGGGGGCATTATCCACGGGTCAAATCGTTGAGAGGCTTGGCAATGACTGAATAGCCCTTGATAAAACGACGGTAATAACCCGCAAATCCCAGAAAAGAGCGCAAAGTCTTGAGATTTGTTGGAATTGGCCAGGTTTTTAGTGCAGCTACTTTATCTGGATCAGTCTCAACTCCTCTTTCCGAAACAATGTGTCCTAAGTATTTGACAGACTTCTGGAAAAATTTGCACTTTTCCGGCGATAGTTTTAATCCATATTCCTGTAACCGGCTCAGTACCTTCAGCAGACGACTCTCATGCTCTTCAAGTGTATTTGAGAAAATGATCAAGTCATCCAAGAAGACGAGAACCTTCTGTAAGTGAAGATCACCCATACACTTTTCCATCAATCGCTGGAAGGTTGACGGAGCGTTAGTGACTCCCTGGGGCATTCTGTTGAATTCCCAGAAACCGAGGGGTGTTACGAAAGCCGTTTTTGATTTGTCTGCTTCATGCATCTCAATCTGATAATAGCCTGACTTGAGGTCTAGGACTGAAAACCATTTTGATCCACTGAGCGCAGAGAATGATTCCTCCAAGTTTGGTATCGCATAGGCATCTTTGACAGTTTGTAAATTTAGCTTACGATAGTCGATGCATAGTTTGATATCCCCATTCTTCTTTTTGACAACAACGATCGGCGATGAGAAAGGTGACTCAGATTCCCTTATCACCCCGGCATCAAGGAGCTCTCTCAGATGTTTACGCACAGCCTCTATATCCTGAGGGTGAATGGGCCTTGCTCGGTGCTTGAATGGAGTGTTGTCATGGAGATTAATGTGATGTTTTACATGACTAGCGCAGCCAACGTCCATGTCATGCTGAGAAAATACGGTTGACATGGAACGCAACTTGGTTTCTACTCTCTCTTTCCAATCAGGTGGAATTGGTGAGTCACCAAAATCAAAGTTCAGCGAAGTGTTGTTCTCTGAGGGACTAGTCACCTTGTGTTCTGAAATAATACACTCATAGGCTTCTAGTTCTGCTATAACTGTCAAGGGTGGAATGAAAATGTCCTGTTCTGATTCGTTCCGTACCATAACTGGAACTTTGTGAGGATAACGAGTTGGTACAACCACCAAACAGCTACTGATGCACAAACCACCCGGCAGGCCGGACTCCGGATGTTGAACAACAGCATACTGGCTGGCTGGAAGTGAGACCTTAGCAGAGCCTTCAAGCACAACTGAGTGACCAGCAGGAACAAGAACTGGTGATTTGCTGTTGACAGTGACAACTCCAACGTGACCACCACAGGTCTGTTGATACATCACACTGAGAGTTTGTAAAACAGCACGATAACCAGAGGAGTGCGGTTGGAATGAAGCATTGCCACTTTGACGAAATTGATTGTAAAGAGTCTCAAGAGTATTCATGCCAATGAGTACGGAAGTGGGAAAACCAGGCCTCACATCTGGAACTATAAGTGCGAGTGTGGGAACAGATATGATTTTACCAACAAAAGTCTTTGGAAATGTAACAGTAGTTTGCACATAGCCAAGATATGGTACAGGCTGTCCTGCTGCACCTTCTACTTGGAGTAAATCTTGTAATGATTTCACGGGTTGATCTGACAAATGTTTATTGTAAAAAGAAACTGGGATTGTAGTCACTTGTGATCCTGTATCTAACAGACATGTGCTGTGATGACCATTAACTGAAATGTCTGATGTACATCTAGAACCAACAAGTCCTTTTGGTACTACTCTTTCCACAATTGAATTTGACTGTAGCTCTGAACCCTGAGCAGTAACTTGTTCTTTGGCGGGACAAGATTGGTCCGGCTCAGTTCCTGGATGTCCCACACCAGGAACCGAACCTAGTTTAACTTTCCCTGTGGTGTGAAATTTTGTCGCTGCCACTTCTGTTGCTTGTCTTGGAATTGCTTGCGCTTCGCACTCACCAAGGCTGGGTTTGGGTCAGAGTCACACTGGGGTCTAATATGTCCATCTTCCCCACATCAAAAACAAAATCCAGGTTTCAAGTTTGATCGTACAGGTTTATTTTTCACAACTGCTGGACTCAAGTTCATGGGGGACTGTCCTCTGTTGGAAGTTAACGCAGCTAACTGTTGCTGTATAGCAGCTATTTGCTCTGACAGTTGCTTAGTGAGATTTGTAAATACCGTACAAAGATTTGCCTCATCTTCATTTTTCACAAGTTGTGAGTGTGTAGCAACCTTTTGACGTGCTCCTAGATGCTGTTTCATCCTCACACTCTTTGCTGCATCTCTATCTTCCTCTGTCCGCAGAAGTAGCAGAAGCTCGGCAAAGGTGGGTGGATTAGTTTTCCTCTGTTTAAGCTGTAATTCAGAAATTAGTCCATTGTCCCAACATCCTCTACAAAATTGAGCTAACAAGCGTTTCTCAATGTCCTGCTCAGATACTCCTCCTCTCCTCACAGCATGTTGCAACGCCACCTGCAGTCGCTGAAGATATTCAGAAGCCTTCTCACCACTATTCTGATAGGTGTCCATAAATTTGGCGTAAAGTTCTTCTCCGTCCTGGACAGTGCCATAAGCAGACTCCAAATGCTGCAGATAGACATCTGGCAATGTATCATGGCTGAGATGTTTCACCAGGTCACAGGCAGGTGGTAACAGGCCGTCTCGAATTAGCCTGGTGCGCTGGAGATCCGAGATGGACGGATCACGCAGCAACAGCTCGACGCCAACCCTCCATGTGTCATAGTCCATTTCATTGTTTGGCCGCGGTACCTTGCCAGAGAATGGTCTCAGACGGTGGGCGCTATGGGACGTATCAGTGCTGCGGACCACATGCTCCACCATGTAGCGCTGCACCTCAGGAGGATTGATGTCACCTGGGCCGATGGATTGCCTTCCTGGGCGCTGCGTGGTTGTACTGTTTTGAACAGAAGCAGAAGTGAGAGGTGGCGGCGGCTGTGAGATTAGAATATTTGGATCGCTTTGTAATAGAGGAGTTACTTGTGAGCTTTGTGATGGTGCTGGCTCAGCATGTTCAGTTTTTGGAACATTGGAAGCGGAAAGCTGGTGCTGCCCAATGGAAAACTGTATTTGTTTCATTACATTTGCCAGAACAGCTGTATAGTCTTTTCCTGACATCTGTGCTATTTGTTTCAAATCAGACAAGTAGGTATCTGTTTTTGAAGTACCCATTTTGACTGAATATATTTGGGACAAGTTCCGAATGTAAAAGTCATTA